GGCAGAGACGGGCAGTATAAAATACGTACCCACGGGGTTCAGCTAACTTGTGCCACTGCTTCCTGCGTCCCGCGCTACACTACTATTTTTAGCATGCTAGCTCTCAGTGTATCTATTCGAGTCACGTGCCCAGCTCCAAGCATAGAATACAACAACAGATCTGGAAGAAATGATGTCCGGTTTGAGTGGATATACCTGCACTAGCTTGGCGTGAGTGGTGGGAGGGGCCATCTGCCCAAGTGTGTACCTCAGGTCTTAGATGGGATTGTCCCTGGGGGGCTAGCCCCTGCCACTGTTTGTGCTGCTGTGGTTACGCAGTTGTTTTTAGTGCGCTACCTCAGTCAGAGCTAGTGTGGGTATGCCTGCGGGAGCTGGAAATTACACCTCCCAGTTGCAGTGTAGACACACTTATAAAGAGACAGGGCACAGGGAAATGTAACCCTGGCATCCCATGATAAGTGCTATCCTGGCAGGATCACAGGGAAGACATGCATACATAGATAGGAGACCAGCAAACGATCTGGGGGAGATAAAGGTCCCATTCCTCAGTGAGGTTGAACTTGGCTTTAGGAAGCAGGATTTTAGGAAGATCATAAAAGGAGGAAGTGCAATAGTCAAGCCGGGAAGTGGGTATGTTAGCACATAGAGGAGCAGAGGGAGGGTCCACCTGAAGATGAATTTTGGCAATACACTGGAGGATGGTGACCGGCAGATTTGGAGGAAAAAGGAAGTTGGGGTCACAGATGGATCCAAATTTCAGTCCTTGGGAACAAAGTCTACTTGTTCGTGAAGACCAGGATAGCCACAATACAGTGTTATGGGACAACTAGTTTTATAGAGAAATGCCAAAGGCTGGATGCCGGAAGTCCAAAATTGGATCTTACCAGTGGTCCAGCACTCTTAGCTTTCCCTGATTAAGGATTTCAGGACTGTGCTTCATTACTTTATCTCCGTCACCACAGCTGTCCAGTGTACGTGCACAGAGAGAATTCCACACTAGCCAGATGGCTTGTGGGGTTAGAATTCGTACAGTGGGTTATGAGGTTCGGAAAGGAAAGGGCATCAAGAGAAATACATTCAGAAAGGAAGAGGGGCAGGAAATCAAGTGTTAGCAAGCAAAGCCTACGTTGGCAAGAACAGAGCCAATTTCAGTGCTATCCTGAAGTTATATTTCATACCTACACACCACGATCACTGCATGCTAAGAACACACAAGACACAGAGAGGAAACAGTTAGGACACTTCTTCTCCCTTGGGGGATTCCTTGGCACCATGGTAATCCCAAGGCAGACGGAGTTTAGAAAGCCTAGACTCTGTGCATGTGCGCACACACGCCACTGTTACTAGTCTGCCACTTGTTTGTCTTTCTCGGCTGTTTCCTGCACCTACCACAGCTGGAGAGTTGATCACGGAGACATTGTAACCGTACTGGAAAGACGATCCAAAGGCCGACACCAGCGTTACACCTGCGAGCAGAAGTGTCATTTTCTGCAGGAAAGAAGAGCAGTTACATGGGTGGAAATTTGCAGTGTTTCTCTCAGTGTGTGCATATATATTAAAAAACCCAGGGCATTCATTAAAGCAAAGGACACTGAAAAAATTGGGCTCCTGCCCTTCTGTTTCTTCGTAGTGTAAAAAGAACATCTGATAGATTGTTTACACTACAACTCACTTTATTCTGCTTGATTTTTCCCTTATTTGAAACTTCAATGCAAACACCCTTTCTCTAGAGTATCAATTGGTCGTTGAAGTCAAATAGATGCCAATTGCCAAAATAAATATCATTAAATTTTGCAGAATTAATAAAAATCTCTTCCCCTCGCAGTTGCTCTGTTTTCTTTCTCATGGTTGTTCTGCCATCAGCATTTCCGAATCAAGCTGCTTATGGGCCCATTCCAGCTGCTATTAAACTCATTTGGAACCTTTCCACAGACATCAGATCGTGCCCTATGGGAACTGTGCTTTGGGGTTGCACAGGGGAGAAATAACTGTCTTGTGCAGGGCCTGAACATGAACGTTGTTCCTGGGCACAGAGTCCTTGGAGTCACCAGCCACTAACAACAGTCTATAGTATCCCTTGTTGCTACTGACTTCTCAAGCTGCAGCCAGCTGTGGAGCAAACAGCGCTGCCTTTTAGAGCTCTCTAATGCACTCTATTGTGGGCAATCAAATCATATTTCCATTCAGCCGTACGTTGTTTTCTCCAGCCACCATTAGCCTTAATGGCTCAGAGCCTCCTCAGCCCATCTATTCTAGCGCAGAGAACTTGTTCAGTCTCTTTAACAGGAGGATTTCTCCGGAGTAGCCAGTAGTTTCCCCACTGGTCACACTCAGCTTCTTCAGATGTCTCAGCAGCGTGCATGCAAAACAGAGACGCCGAGAGGTTATGTGACAGCCTCAGGTTACGCAGTGAGTCAGTTTCCGACGTGGGATTAGGAGTTCCTGGCTCCCAGTTCCATTCTCAGTCTTCTCTACTAGAGCCAGCCCCATCCCCAGTATTATAACAGTGTCTAGAGGCTCCAAATGAGATCAGGGCTCCACTCGGCTTGGTGCTGTACAAATGCACTGTGAGAGAGTCCCTGCCCCAAAAGTTTACTGTCTAAACAGACAAAAGGGAGGAGGCAAAGAGAGGCAAAAATGACTTGCCCAGGGCTCACACAGCAGGTTAGTTGCAGAACCTGGAATAGATCTGAGGTCTCCCAACTCCAGTGTCCTAACCACTAGACAGCACAGCCTCAGACATAAATAGATCCATAAAAGCCCCTGAGCATCAGTTTTGGCACTGCTAACCAGCCCCCCGCCCCCGTTTTCCCCAAGGAAACTTTTCTGCAGCCTTCACCATGTCAGCCAGAAAGAGGCAGGCAAACTCACCCCCTTCCTGCCCCTGCAGGCGTCAGAGCTCTCCTGCTTCTCCTTTGTCAGCTTCATTTTGGCGTGTGAGGCAAAAACGTTGATTTCAGGCTTTTATAGGCAAAGTGGGGCAGGGGACGCCCCAAGAGGAATGATAATGCACGCTGGCTGCTCTGTGGGTGTAACAGGGAACACCCAATAATACGCTTTATTGCCCAGTACAATCAGTCTGTCCTCTGGACCTTCCCGGGGGCTGCATGGCTCTCGCATGTCTTCCATATGGCTCCGCTTTCACTTCCTCTGTTCAAGGCCCCGTCCCCGGGAGGGTCAGAATGCCTTGTGCCAAACCCATGTTCAAACTGGATTGCTGCCACACTCCCACTATGGATGTTTGAAAAAGCTCCTTGCTGCAATAGCTGTGGTGAAAGCAGCTGGAAACGCCACTGCAACAGGCTGGCTCTGCCACGGGGAGAGCAGGGTCACTTCTGCGCACGGAGCAGCAGGCTCCAGCCCTCTGGCTCAGCCTGCGCGGACAGAGCTATTTTCCCGAGGGCTGGAGGTGGTGCTTTAGGGAGAGGCAGTACGGTCTAGGAGCCTGAGCACAGATCTGGGAGCCAGGAACTCCGGCAGTTCAAAGCCTCTGCGGCAGTATGGGACACGTTCATTTCACCTCGCTGGGCCCCATTTTCTCCATGTGTAAAATCAGGTTACGATCCCACAGCCCCTACTGAACCTGTATTATCTGCCAGCGATCCAGCCACTGCGTCATGCAACGGTGCTACCGCAGGGTCTGGAGCCACTGCTGGAGGATGCTGCAGGGCTTGGGGCGGGGGTGGGGGGTGGGGGTTAGGGATTTGTTGAACTACGCTTTTGTAGCATTCAGGAAAACCTCACGCAGTGCCTAGCCAGGCAGTTAAAGGAGCAGAGCACTCCGAGCTCCCACTAACAACAATGGATGTTGAGGGTGCTCAGCGCCTCTGAATCGCAGGTCGTGCGCACCACGAGTCCTGAACATTGCTAGTTAGTTACAGTTCCGTCTCACACCCCAGACAAGAGAAAACCCTTGTCCGTGCTGCACAAGGAAAGGACGATAGACGCCGTTGTGTATTAACGCAGTTGTTGGCAAGGCTCTGAGACTAGCATGAACAAGGGTTACAGAGACTCAGCAGACAAAGATAGGCCTAGGGCCTAGAGAGCATTTGTCTCGCTCCAGGCCCATTTAAACTACAAAATGTATCTGTCCGAGCCCTGCGCTCGAAGGGTCTGACCCTGTGGCCAGCGGGAGCCTTCCCATTGGCTTCAGTGGGACGGGAGCAAACCCTAATGATGACAGCCGGGTTTTAGTCCTGCTTGCGGGCATGGGACCAAACTGGGTCAGCACCATCTCATGGCCGCAGGTTGCCTCCCTGTTCTTTACACTGGAATGCAGCACCGTGCGCAGCGCGGAGGAGCCGTTTGCGGCCAGCTGCTGGGGAGCATTGCTGCAGATCATGGTGTGTTCAGAGCAGCACATCTCACATTTTTGCTCAGCTGTTTGATCTGCTGCTTTTGCCCCCAAGCATATTAACCCCTTCAGTCCCCAAGTCTTTTACCACCACATGCAAGGTGCATGCGGGGGCTGGAGGGGGGGATGGTTGGCAGAGGGTACAACTCTCCTCTCCATTCCAACTCCGAGAGCTTATTTTGCACAGAGCCTTGTTATTAGTTAACCAAGGCTGCATGGCCCCGATTAACTAGGAAGCGAAGTTCACAGACAGTCCCAATCGCCAGGCTAGATGAAACAACCAACACGCTCTACTCTTAAAGGCCACACTTATTTTTATTGCTCAGTAAAATACCTTGTCCTCTTGGACCCTCATGAGTTGCATGTGGGTCCCACATGGGTCCCACATGGGTCCATGGTGTCTCTGCTTTTTCTTCCCTCATTTAAGGGACTTAACACAAGACCAGGCACAGAATCTAGACTCAGCATTTTCCACCCTGGTTTATATTTTTGGCATCCGTTGATCATTCCTCCCCAGCACTGTTCTGCAGGTCATAAAAAGAACCGGTTGGCCATTCAAACCAAAGTAACAACGGATCAACAGCAGCTCCCATCATTTTTCTTCTTCCTTCCTTCCTTCTTCAGGATTTGTTTTCGGAGTGGTTTGTTTTCAACACCCAGTAGTTACTGTTCATTCAAAGTCCCTTTCAAGCTAGTCCGAATCAGAACCACAAGTTATGCTCATGTGAGAGGTGCTAAAAACAACTGCACAATGTTGTGCAACAACGTAAAAGGTGATCAACAGACAATACCAGCTTCTGGCTGTAATCAGGGCAAAGCAACCTACGTAGAAACAAGACCGGTGGAGGGATAAGAAGGAAAACGAAAAACCTTAAAGCAAAAATTATTCAGGGAAACAGATAAGTCCAGAAATCTTGGGGAAGGGCATTAGTGATTCATAACTATACTTATTCCTAAACAGCTTCATTCTATGCCAGCTAAAACCTATTGAGCACAGCTGGCTTTCCAGGAAGGATTCCTTCCAACGGCAAAAAAAGTGATCAGTGCCCAGAATTAAATTGCATATGCAAACACACCGGCAAAGAACATGTAGTGTGCCACTAGAGTCGCTGATCCACTGGAGGATAACCGACTACTACTGTTAGCAACTAATAGAATGAGGGAGCTAAATTACTGCTTTAGCACACATAGTGGAGGACAGTGCTGTGGTGCTGAACAATCCTGGGTTTAAAAATCCTGCTGATGACCCTGTGTGGTAGGGGGTTGGTTATGCATGGATGCCCAAGGTCTGATTTCTCTAATTAAGCTTAGCTATGCAGGGACCCCCCAAGAGCTACACCTCTTCTGTATGGGCACAAACCCCTTTCCTTTAGAACTTAAAAGTAAGCAAGAATGTATGCAAGGCAGTGTCGCCTCTCAATGCAGGAATGAAATCCCTGCACCCACACTCTGGCATCAAGAAATATTCAGCACTGCATGATTCTTTACTGATATCCGTACACAACACGTGCAAGTGTTGGGAAACGAAAGGCAACACATCGAAGTACACACTGGGCCAAAGATGCAACAAACTAGAGAGAGCAGCTATTTAAGTGGCCAGTTTGCCATTCTTGCCAGAAGGAGAGAAATTAACGAGGTCTAACCTCATGCTTTTATTGGCTGAGAAGAATCTCATGGTGAAGGAGAATTAATCTGAGAGCAGAAGTTTGTGAATTGCTGGGGGCCCACAGAGAGCCAGCTGGTCCCACGATCTCGTCTCGGCTGTTTCCAGCTTTCCTGCTGTCACTTTCCCCACGGAAGCGACTGCTGTAGTTGCCACAGTGATGTTATACATAGAGCCCTGAGTGGATACAAAATGTGTATCCGCATCCGATCCATGATCCACAAACATGGTCTGTGGACGTATAGTGGATATTCACAGATTCTCCGGGCTCTAGTTATAGGATTGCCAGTGGGAGGGGGAAGTCTCCTATGTGATTTGAGGGGGATGAGAGGGGCTCATGAGATAACTTCTCTATTAAGATGTGGTCCACTCTGTGAAAAAAGATTGGCAAATCCTACTGTGGAAGAATAATTCAGTAACAGATCCTTGTCTAAGGACAGACAAAGGAACATTACAAGCTCAGATTTTACCTCGTTATATCTGAGCAGTTCCATGGATTTAAGTTTAGTAGAATTTTGCTGTTAAAAAAAGCTATGTTGTAACAAATTCATAGGACCATATCATTTGAGCTGAAGGAGAATCTCCTTGGCAGTACAGAACCTATGGCACACAGTCAAAGCAGAAAGTAATTTCCTTTGGCAAAAGCCAAAAATGTTAACTCATCTCAGAAACATTCTTAGGATTTAAAAATGTAAACAAAAATAGGTCTCCAGTGCTGGTAAAAACAAATACACACACACAACCCACAACCAACTGTCCCCCAATGGCTTAAAATGCTGCTTGTTTCATAATGAAAAACCACAACACCAATTTAAATTTCTTAACAAAATGCTTAGCTCCTTGAAGAAAGAAGCTACCAAATAGCTTAGAGCTTGAAAAGCAGCTTTCTTATCTTGCAGAAACTGCTTCTTTCTAGTAGTTCCCGGCTCTTCTGCATATCTATCATCACCAGTCTTAACTGAACACAGGTGCAAGATAGAACATTAGTTGCAACAATAATATTCTTAACATTTATTGGCTTTTCTAACCAATCAGAACACAGCCAGGGCAGTTGGGAGTTCGAGTTAACCCAGGTGCAATAGAACTCTCAGTTAATTACCTCCTTTGGTTGCTGGATTAAAATGTGCAGAGCACATGAACACTGCCCAAGACCGAGGTGATATGCACTGGCCTGCCCAGGGGTAGTCCTAAATTGGATTCCTAGTCCCATGTGCCCCTAGGCTGAGAGGTGCTGGAGGGAGCTCTGGCCAAGCAACCACAACCAGACGGTCGATGGGGAACAGGATGAGACAGGGAAGGAAGAGAGAAGTCATCCCGCCTACGTGAGGAAAACGCTGCCCTATCCCGTAAGCAAACCAGCCCGAGGTGAGCGGGTGCAATAAGTGCCCTGTGAGTGGGGAGGGCAAGTATTTGCAATTGGCAGACGACTAGTTCTTTGTAAATCTGCCTATCTCATCAAGGTCAATTAGCAACACGCAGCTGGCAGCAGTAGAGGAACCGTAAACAGATCGATACAGGGAGGGCTGCTTTACACTGCAGCCCAAACCAGCAGCTGTTGCTTGTCCAGCCAGCCACCCAACCTTCTCGTCAGAATCAAGACCAGAAGGGACCACCAGATCACAGGCCACCAGCCAGCACCCAGCCACTTCCACACCAGGCCCAACAACCAGAATTAGACCAAACTATTACCACCCTCAGAAAGCTCAACTATATGTATCACAGGCAGGGAACGGGAGGGAGCAAGGTGGACCCACACCTGAGGCCCTGTCATGCCAGGGTATTGATCAAGGGAGATATGCCCAGATG